AACATTCACAGTAGGGTCAAGGTCATTTAAACAAGAATGTAATGAACAATCGAGTCCTTAAACGATTTCAACTACTCCAGTTGTGTCACAACTCCCTGCGACACAGACATGCAAAGCTAGTAAAAAACAGTTAATAAGGAGAATTTACCGTTTCGGCTTGATCTAGTCATCAAGGCGTTACCACAGAATATGATCTTGGTGTGATCCTGTGTGTGCCACTTTATGCGCACCGCTTCAGGCTAAACACTGTGTAGGAGGGAATCCATGGAGTAAATGTTGTCGTCACGACCACCTTGCTACTTCACGAGATTGGCACAAACCCATCAGTAGGGGAGGAGAGATGATGAGGCCAGAAACAGTCCGCAACGTGTTTCTTCCATTTAGGTGGATGTGGAGAGGTAAACGATTGCCGAAGAAAGAATAAACACTTCCGGTACTGGGATCTCAGGGCACTGAGATGAAAGGACCACCATGCAGCCTCTTCTGGCACCTCTCTTCTATCCACCTAAATGATCGATTGTAATGTGTCTTAAAAAGAAAAAAGTCACAATCATCATCTACTTAATTCTTTTCAGTTCACCCGACCTTTTGAAGACACTACTTAAAGTGGTAATTTGCCATAATTTGGCAGGGAACACGTGTCACCTACTTGTGACGCTGGCAGCTGAAATGTTAACTGCAGTAATGAATACACGTTTAAGAGTTGCAAATCATCAATCCAAATGGCGGCACCGTCTTTGGAACATGCATCGGTAGTGCGACTGCAGAGGTGCCTCCAATAGTTACACAACTTTCACAGCCATTCAATTTTATTGCTATCAGTTCCACGAAATTACAGGTTGTATACTCAAAACGTACTTGAATGAGACCAGTTACTGCATCACTCTACCCACTTACCCTCCTTCTTCTTCCCATCACACCCATCCACACTGCCTTCGAGACACATCGGTTGTTAGTAACATGGCATTTATGTTGCACCCTTCACTGCACTATGCCTTGCCCTTTCCAGTTGATGGGTAGATGTCAGCCGTTGCTCCCATCACTCAGCCTCGCTCACCCTCTTGCCCCAGTCATATACCACCAATCTGGGGTGATTTACCAATGGGATCATACCATTCAACCCATTTTGGAATTGTGGGTTCACATGCCTCGCCCTCACTGAGTGCTGCGAGGAGAGAGATGTAGGGGACCCCGGCCAACTTGACTGACAGACAGACAAACAGACTCGAGTCACATTCATCAGGTTAAAATAGACTTGAGGTACATATGAGGTCTAAAAGTGACAGAAAAGTGGGGAGGCCTGAAGTGTGGGGTCAGTGTAGGTAAGGTTAACGTTTAATCTGTAAAGGTAAAGCCAAGCCCATCCTCTCTTCTATCTAGCATAATAAAATTTTACGAATAGTGGATGGTTTGCCAAGTTGTAGATCTTAATGACTGGTCAAATTGCCACCTTGTTCTCTCTTGCTAAATGTCATTCCGATAGCGAGTTCATGTTAGATGAACCGCTTTATTCCGAGGCACACTCTTCCTCCTCCTATCCGCCTACACCCGAAGGCACGAGAATAATTTAGCTCCGTAGATTACGGCAGCAATTCATGCGAGCGGGGCTGTAAATGCGACCTAGAGGTAATAGAGTGCTAAAGCAAATTTGTGATAGAAGTGGGGAAGGAGGAAGAGGTGAGAGTGTAGGGCACAGGCGCACAGACCAAAGGATATCTCCTACCATCCAACTTAATAAACATTTAACATGCAAATTTATCGACTGCTTAAATTATTGCCAACCTTAAGGGTGGTCAAATACAAGACATTCAGGGCTCAGTATTTAACTTCACATAAAATTAACTTCATTAAATACTGGTGTATGGGGTTTAGTAGTCGTCAACACTTCTTCTGGAGGCTCTCGACATCAGTTGTGATGCTATAGCTTGTTGAACTACATTCTACTCTTCCACCTGACACTCGGACCAGACCGCTAGACTTCCAAGCCTTCTCTGCGTGTGAGTTAGTAGCATGCATTACCATACCACTGGCTTTTCCCTACTTCCAAGCAGACTCAAGTGCCTTACACATTCAACGAAGATCTTGCCTGACCAAACGTGACCTCCCCTCTGATAACACCGTTTAAGCTCTACTGTCCCCCTAAGCGATGTAAAAATAAAAAATGCAGAAAAGCAACAGAGAATAGCAAGCGTGTTTCGGTAGTAGATACGAAGCAGGGAAAGGAATTTCAGAATCCTTCACCGGTTCGCACTCTCGTTCTAGCTCTCCCTTCTGCTAGCCCTCAAGTTGACAAAATGTGCCATCAGAGCAGAACCTACCCCACCAATGAAGACTAACTCACTTAACCCGGCAAATCGAAACTGAGTAAACGAAGGCAATGGCAGTGGATTGAGGCAGAGTGGGGTGGATGTGGATTTGGGTAAGGCCAGAAAGCCGAAACAGAAAGGGAACAATAAGTACACACACACACTCAAGACCACGCAGACGTGGGCAAATTTGAAAAAGGAGGGGGAAATTACCCCTCTCCATCCAAAATGTAAAATTGAATGTGGTGGCGATGTTGGTGGTGACTAGAGTAGTCACACATTTCTTTGATGCAGTTCGAGCTGAACGGATAGGTGAAAGTGATTTGGAAAGGAGAGAGTGATCGACAGTAGAAGAGATTACCACTGTGTGCTAGGTATCGTTACAGAAGCACCTGCTTGAATGCGTTTGCATGCATCCCCCGTGGTTTGTTGAGGGTAAGAGGGAGGGAAGGAGGGATGAGTAAGGTTACCTTGTCATCTGTGATCGGCTCCAATTGGTGGATGTCTACTGCATATAACCACACACACACACAACAGCTACTTAGCAATGTGCTTTTCCCTCCTAGGAAAGAATGACCAAATATATTTTGCAGTGGTTGAGGCTACCACATCACAGTTAAATTGGATCCAACAAATATTAACGCATTTTTTGTAAATAGGAAGATTATAACATCAAAATGTGTCATACTAGCAGGCTACTGAAGTTTACTCCTGATTGGCCGAAGTCTAGACAGAGTTATATTGTATAACCTCTCAATACTTTACTTCTGACTGGCTCAAGCCTAATTAATGCGAGATCAAATAACTTCATGAGCATCAAAAATGGCACCCAGAACACGAGACACATAACATTGGGCACTACGATTACCACATTCATTCTACCTACTTTCATTCACCGAAGGTGATGTGGTAACTTTCACTACTACAAAGCGTCCAGGGTCTGTCTTTTGCTAGGAAAAGTTTTTCTACGGTAAGGATTCACAAGCAAGGAAACGACCACAAATTTTGCTCTTCAATGTGGTAATCCTTTCCTCACTTAGGGTGGAATTTGTTGCTGCCAATATCCTCTCCCTTTGCATTGCTACAAAATCTACCTTCTGGGAGAGGAGGTATAGGCGCATTGCTATGTGGTTGTGTGCGCGTGTTTATGCGCAGTAAATGTCAACCTGTTTAAGTCAATTATGGATGACGGGGATAGGATTAGTCTTACCTCTCTCTGCCCCTCACCCCACCCTTTACAAACCATGGAAGATGCATGCATAATCCATTCAAGCAGGTACTGCAGTAACGACAGCTAGCACACAGTGGCAAGCTCTACGAATGCCGATCTCTCTCTCCCACAATCCAGAAATGGTTTGAATGACATGACCCCCTTTGGGGTATTACCAGAGTTTGGTGGTACATGACTGGGGCAGGATGGTGAGCGAGAATGAGCGATGAAAGCAACGGCTGACATCTACCCATCAAATGGAAAGGGCAAGGCATAGTGCAGTGAAGGGTGCCACCTAAATGCCATGTTACTAACAACCGATGTGTCTCGAAGGCAGTGTAGATGGGTGTGATGGGGAAAAGAAGGAGGATAAGTGGGTGGAAGGATGTAGTAATCAGTCACAATCTACTGTGCTGGGTGACTACAGCGTGTGATGTCGTGGAGCTGTCAGCCATGAGATCTAGTGACTGTGGTACTGATGTAGTTCACAGAGGCATTTCTACAGTCGTACTACTGATGCATGTTCCAAAGACGGTGCCAAAGAAGAGATTGACGATTTGCAACTCGCAAATTTGTATTCGAAACTATCGCTTACCTTCCATCTGCAAGCGTCACAAGCAGGCGAGACGCGTTCATTGACAAATGATCACGTCATGTCGTGTCTATAAGAGGTGGGATGGATTAAAATGAATCACGTAGATGATGCTTGCAATTTCCTTCTTTTTAAGACATATTACAACCGACCATATGGGAGAAGGTGAGAGAGATGCCAGAAGGGGTGTCATGGTGGTCTTTTCACTACAGTGTTACTGAGCTCTCGGTAACCGAGGTGTTAATTCTTGTTTGACAACCATTCACCTATTCATATCCATCTAAAGAGGAGAAACACGTTGCACATCGTTTCTGAACTCATTATCTCTCCTCTCCTACCGACAGATTTGTGCTAATCTCATGAAGTAGTGAGATGATCGTGACGACAAAATTTACTCCTTGATTCCCTCCCACACAGTGTTTAGCCTGAAGCAACTTGCATAAATTGGCATGCACTGGGTCCCACTTAGGTCGTATTCTGTGGTAACGCCCTGATGACTAAATCAAGCCAAAAGAGCACATTTACATTATTGTCTGACTTTTACTAGCATCGCACGTCTCTGCATTGCGTTCTTTATTTGTTTCCGCCATGCAGATGCAACAAACTGTGCATCACGATGTGATTGAATGGATTGGCAAAACTCAAGTAGGTGGACGACACAACCCATCTGGGGTAGACAGCTACACTTCCCAGATTTTCCCCCGCATTACTTACCCCTGAATTGGAGTTATTTGGTAGTGGCCATTTCTATCTGGCATGTGGTGGTCAATGGCTATTCGGAGAATGGCGCAACTGGATCCACTAATCCTGGACATGACCTTTCTAAACTACAGCGTAATTTGTATATGCTAAAAAGAGGAAAAGAAGATGGAGAGCTTGAGAAAAGATAGTGTCAGTGGATGCGTCTATGAACGACGCCAAACGCCATCATCATCTGTAATTTATAACAAGAGAGAGAGAGAGAGAGAGATTGGTTTGCATGTAAATACGCGCTCTTTGAAGGACAGTCACCCGTGAGTCTAAATCGTCACTCTTTAATTCGGCTTTGGTGAATGTGATAGGCCAATATTATCCTCGAGCAGGTCAGCGATATGACCTCTACCATCGCAGTTCAATTAAGTGAGTGTGTGTGCGTGTGGATTTACCCTGCCTCTCCGCCTATCCCTCCTAATTTTAGGCCAGCTTGTCAATGCGCCACACCCCATTTTTTGAAGGCATGACGATGAATCTGTGTAATGTTATCTGGAAAGTGAAGTGAGGTGCTACAAAACGAGGTCTTTCTCTCTGTTTTCCTATATACCATGCTCTTATATATGAATTACATAGGAAGGTCTCTGTATTCTCCTCAGCTACCATAAATTGTGCGTGATCCATAATTAATTGGGCGAGATAAAGAAATTATGGTCCAATCCTCCCTGATTGGTAGGGGGGGATCAAAGATAACCTCGTCATTGATAAAATATTTACAAGAGCATAACAAATCTGCCGCTCTGCAGTAGAGCAGGCAAGACGCAACACAATGAATGGGACAAAGGAGGCATGGAATAAATGCTATTTTAGGAATGAGTGGGAAATGAATAATAATTATGATAGTAGAAAGAAGAAGAAGAAGTGATAAGGCAGTTTCTTCATCCAGATGTGTCTGGAGTTGCCCAGCACATTCTCGCTTTGATAACAACCATACACGCATGCAACTAGTGACTGCCTAATCAGGCCATTGTTCCAGTAGAGGAAAGTAAAGTCTCGGTGTGAAGTAGACACACTCTGCTATGCTAATCTGCTTCTGTCTACTCATGAAGTAAACATGGAGTAAGTGGAGAGGGAAAAGGCGAGGGGGGGGGAAGGGACCTTGGAGTAACCTCTCTTTTCACTGGTGATTGATTGGACTCAAAAGTTGACAACAGAGAGGAAGAAGAAAATTAGCAGGGAGGCATTCACCACAAAGGCGACAAATTAGTCAGCTACAGTAGGCAAAAGCAAAATCGCTGAAAGAAGGGGTTATAAGCCCTCGTATGGTAAAAGGCCTCTTTACCTTATCCCCTATTTCTCATTTGCAAGTGAAATGGGCTTCTTGAATACCGCAGTTTGTTGCCGAATCAATCCGTCAGCCAACCGAATAGAGGCAGTGTCTTGGATCTCACGCCGACAGACAATTCTCAAGCCAAAAATGAGCAGAAATTGGGTTTAAAGGCTGAAAATAGAAGCAATAACGACTGCAATTGATAGGGTGCGGAGGAAGAGAGTGGGGAACTCTTATGAGCTATCAATCTGTTGATGGGTAAAGGATGAAACACCGATGAAAACGGCAGAAACATGTGGTCACTTAACATTCCAATGCAACAAATTCCTGTGAAAAGATGGATTAGCTTTTTATCTTTAGAGCAGGAAGAGGAGAAGTAGAAGGAGGATGAGTAAATGAGAATTACGTGCCTTTAAGTGAAGGGTTGATGACACTGGTGGAACCGTTGGTACCCGCACCCCATCTCCGTCGCTTGAGCTTTTACCTAGCATGACCCTCATAAAAGTGAGGCGACTGTCATTGATGCTCAACCAGGCAAAGGAGGATGCCAATTAAGCTAATCAACCAAGTGCTTAAAAAAGGAGGTGATTCTATCCTCCTCCTCTTCCTACTCTTCCCCCTCTTCCAGCAGAGGACGGTACTTTGAGACTATACAGAAATAAGATTATGTTTGTTGTCTCCAAAATCATTCATGCTGCAAATCCCAGGACTCAAGACAACATAACATGTCGTCACCTGCAAAATGCAATGAAAGTCGATCAGATGGGTAGACAGATGAGTGTATTTAAGCCTCCAAGGTAATCCTCCTTGGTAAATTATTTGACAATGAGGCAAAAAAGCATTCTGACATAAAACTGCTCTCAAGCAGCCAAATGTGATGTAGGTTGGCATTAAAACTGAGCAAATAATTGAACGCTGAGTAGGATAATACTTGCGTCTATAGGGCCGGAGCATTTCACTACAACACAACTTGCGCTATTTGAGATAGACACGCCATACTCGAATACTCTGCGTTACTGTTGCAGCATGATCTTGTCATATTTGATTAATGACAAGCCCACTGTCACCCAATTGGTTCGTTCTGTGTCCAGTGCAAGGACAAATGCAAACTCCCGTAGGTTCCGCAAACCTTGAACTGCTGATACGATTCACGATCCGGAAGGTGAAATATAAACCAGGCGCATAAGCTGTTGAAGACACGCAAACCCTATTCATTTCGAGAAGGTTTTTCTCCCCTGCCAAGCGTGGACTCTTTTGCCATACCTTTGAACATGTCATTTCTGTGGACATTTCGACCGTCTGCTTTTGCATGTAGCCGCCTGAAGCGCCTCCTATCTGTCTAAATGACATGACTCCTTTGGAGTGACCACCTCAACGCCTTGTTCAGTGCGGAATGAATTTGTGATCTCACCATACTCCTGTCCACACTCCTACACCTGTGACAGAACGGCGCTTGACGCAATTCGCGTGTTGATCTGGTTGTTATATCACAGCCTGAGCAAAATCTCCTCTTTGTGTTTACGCTAATCAACAATGAGGCATACAATCACATGTCGGAGTAGAGGTACGTATCATCTTCTGTGTGATGAAATCATTGTGGAGTCATCAAGAGTGATGCGGTCCACCAACACTTCTAAAGTATCAAATGCTGAGGTATTCATCACTTCAAAAAGTGCTCAAATTGGTTTACAAATCCGAGACACCGCATGCTTAACCACCACGTGCCATTCAGCTTCTACCATTTGAGAGAGGTTTTAGGTGACAGCAATGTAGCATAGAGCGCCATATTGTATCGTACCGAGGAACTGGCCCATGCCTGCTTATACGTCCCTTCCCACAAGTCACAGGAAGTTGATGTGTATACCGATCTGCATCAAACACACCACGCAAACATCTGGGGTCACCTGATTCACACTAGGCACCAAAAAAACTTGTATTACAGAGGTCTTCTCTATCACCGTTGCCATCGGTTGAAATAAATAAATAACTCAAAGAGACGTGCTAGCTCTATTTCTCCCTCTCTCCACTCCTCTTTCTTTTCCTTTTGTCGCGCTCCCCATTATTCTCATTCCTAGACAATCCTCACTGAGAATAGCATACCTTAGCCAGTAGGTAGAGGTGAAGATCCTCCGGCTCTGTCAGACTCGCTATCGTGTCCATCTTGTCGTTCAGGTAACTGATATCCTTCGAGATGGAGCTCTCGTCGATCTGTGTGAAGAATCCAAAACAGTGCAACAATCAGATCACAGAGGAAACTCATATGCGCCCAATTACTTCAAACATCGTCACTTCCTACTCCCTTCAGCCACGTAGCCCCCTTGGCCATGCGACTCTAAGTCAAGGCTTCTTCAATGGGTTACTGGATGCTAGGGTTCCGACCTCAGCTGGCAATGCCCGCAATTTTCCGATTACAGGCTTCTTTGAATATAACAGCAGTTTCTCCTCGGAAAATGCCTTCTCATCTCCCCTCCCTCTGTCAAATCTGTTTTAACTAGCAGATTGGAAGAGGTTTGTTCAAATCCCTCGATGATAAGTATGAAATTCAGATAATAAATATTTACAGTAGGGTCAAGGTCATTCAAACAAGAATGTAATGACCAATCGTGTCCTCAAACGAACACGGCTACTCCAATTGGGTTACAATATCCTGCGACCCTGATCTTATATTTGTACGGAGCCTATGTCACACATGTGTGACAGTAGAAGGAAACGTGTTGGGAGTGTTGGCCCAATCACGAACTAGAGGGTGAGATTGACAGAGGCTACCAAATGCGCAACCCCGCCACTCCAAAGATGAAGTACTCGATTGTGTTGCTAAACCCTTCTGTTGTGAGTAACTTGTATCTGCAGTCCCTGCTTCTCTCTGGATTGTGATTAGCGATGGTCAATTGTGCTGCCATATTGATAGCTTTAGCAGAATTCAGCTTTGTGATTCATAAGTATCAAAGAGCTATCCTGTCACACATTAGCTCCACCTGGATATGATTTGGTTTTGGCAAGCACTATTGAACAAAAGAAGTAATCAACCTATTTCTTCTCTTCAGGTGGATTAGATGAGGTGAACGCTTGTGGAGTAGGAATTAACACCTCCGTAATTGGGATCTCAGGGGGACTGTAATGAAATGATCACCTTACAACTCCTTCCCCTCTCCTCCTCCCCTCCTTTCTCCTTCCAAAAGGACCGCATGTAGTGTTTCTAACGAAGAAAACTTGCAAACATCATCTACTTGATTCATTTTAATTCACTCGATCTCTTGAAGACACGATTTGACGTGATAATTTGACATAATTTGGCAAAGAACACATCTCACCTACTTGTGACGCTGGCAGCTGGAAGGTTAGTGACAGAAGTGAATACACAGTTACGAGTTGGCACTCGTCAATCCGTTCTGCGGCACCGTCTTTGGGACATGAATCGGCGGTACGACTGTAGAAATGCCTCCGTGAGCTACATAGGTTCCACAGTCATTCGCTCTCATGTCTGACAGCTCCATGACATCACAAGCTGTAGCCGCACATCACTCTCAAGTATGACCGGTTGTTGCATCATTCCACCCACCCACTCACCCTCCTCCTAATCCCCATCGCACCCATCTATACCATTTTCGACACACATCAGTTGTTAGTGGCCTGGCATTTAGATTGAATTTTTCAGTTGATTTGTAGACGTCAGTAGTTCGTTTCATCACTCAGCCCCGCTCACCTTCCTGCCCCAGTCATGCACCACCATCCCCTGGTGTTTCATCAACAGGACTATACCATTCAAACCGTTTCTAAATTGTGGTTCCACATAATTTGCCCTCTCTGAGTGATGTGTTGAAAGGGATGCAGGGCATCTCCACCATCTTGGAGCCAAATTGACCCCGACTGGCAAATCAGACAGGAACGAGTCACGCTCATCATGTTAAAACAGACCTGAGGATCATATGAGGCTTCAAATTGACAGGAAAGTGAGGAAGACTGAAGTGTGGAGTCAATATAGGTAAAGTGGAAGATAAAGCCGTAGAGATAAACCACAACACAGGCATACACTCATTCTCTCTTCTCTCTAGCATGATATAATTGTACGAATTGTGGATGGTTTAATAATTGCTAGATTTCGGCCTGTCATCAAGGTGCCACCTCGTTTATGCCTCGCTATTCGTCAGTCTAAAAGCCAGTTCATGTTGCATGATCTGTTTTATTCCTATTCACATTCTTCCCACCAATCCGCCTACACCCAAAGGCCCTAGAATACTCTAGATCCATAGATTATGTCAACAAATCCCACGAATGAAGCTGCTAATGTGACATAGAGGTAATACAGTACTGAAGTGAGGAGGCTGGTGTGTAGGACACAGGTCCACAGAACAAAAGCTGTCTCCTAACCACCAACTTGGTAGGCACTTGGCATGCGAATTTACCAACTGCTTAAACCGTCATCAACCTTAAGTGTAGTCAAATACAACACCTCCAGGGACCAGTGTTTACCTCCACATGGAATGAACTTCATTAATTACTGGTTTTGGGGGTATAGCAATCGCCAGCACTTCCTTTGGATAGCCTTGACATTTGTTATGATGCCGAAATTTGTTGAACTACATTCCACTCT